GTGCAACATTATGGCAAAATTCACTATCGGAAAATTGAAAACAAGGGTTATCACTATCAAGAATAATAGGAGCAGCAGGACGGGTAATAGGTCTGGGTCGGGGAGCCGGGGGAAGGGTAGTAGGTTGGAGACTACTTTCACCAATTTTAGCTTTTCCCTTACCACCAAACATTTTTTTCAAAGAAAATGCCATATTAATTACAATTATGCAAACTAAACACACAAAAATATATTCTTAAAAGTTAAGAGTTGGAACGAGTTTACCGAATTGCCGAACAACTTCTTGAAAATTGAAAATCGTTGAAGACTTGAAGACTTGAATACTTCAATTCACCAACTTCACAATTTTTCACGAAATTGCAATAATAAAATAAGCAATTATAGAAGAGAAATTAGATATAGATTGAGAGAGATTGAGATAGATTGATGAATTGGTGAGTAAAAATGAAAGAATGAGGGGGTATTTATAGTTGAGAATTGGGGAAAAGTGTAATTATATAAAGTTTGGGGTTAAAATAAAGTTTGGGGGCCAAATGGCTATTTTTTAAAGTTCCAAACGGTTGAAAATTAAAGGCCAACGGCTAGATTTTAAAATCTGACCGTTGGCTATTTTTAAAAAAAAAAAAAAAAAATTTTTTTAAAAATTAGCCGTTGGAGCCCGTTAGGACCGCTAGGCCCGGTTGAACCGGCCCAGGACCGCCTGCCGGTCCCGGGCTTAGCGGTCCCGGTCTTAGCGGTCCCGGTCTCGTGGGCCTCGTGTACAAGACCGGCCCGTCACGGGCTTCCTACCCATTAAGGGACCGGCCCACCAGGACCGGCCCGCCGGGACCGTTTAGCCCGTTAGGACCGCGGGCCCGGTCCCAGACCGGCCCACCAACAGCCTTACCTTGATGACATCACTTGAAATGATGTAAGCACTTTAGTTGGTCAAAAGATAAGTGGCAACTTGAAACAGTGCAGTGCAGGCAGAAACAGTGCAGGCAGTCACGTCGCTTCCAGCTGTGTCCAATTGACTTCGTACTGCTATGAGGGAACCACAAAGGTATCAGGTCCTTGTTTGGTTCTCTATCTCCCGAAGCTATAGCAGTTCACATTTAGCTGGAATCCGTTAATTTGCAGTGTAGCCCAAGTGTGTTAGGTTCCTTATCTGGTCCTTGACAGTAAATTTGTTAGATCATCAAAATATAAGGCAAAGACATTGAAAACCTATGAAGTACCACAGTCACCGCTCTGCCGTACCCTGCATGCATAGGAATCAACGGACATCAGAAACTTTAATTATTCAAACTTGATGTTTGCATTAAATTAACAAATGTTTATATTTTTATATACAGTTCTGTATTGATTAATCACAGTTAATTAGCTGAGTATATATTTTCATCTCTATAGATCACTTAATTATAATTAAGTAAAATATAGTGTGAATGAGTTTTTTCTGAACCAATATCAACTAATCGAGCAAAAAGTTAATTTGTCCCCGTCAAAGAAGTTGGAGCTAAATTGACATTCTGCTTAACCAAGTCACTAATCCAATCTTGACTGGCATACTAAATGGGGGGAAATAAAATCAAAAGTCTTCGCCTCGTTGTCACCCACAAGACGTAAGGCTTAAGTTAGAATCAAGTCCACATGGTATGTTTTGAGACAATTCATCTGCTCCTAGGTTTTTTTTTACCTTTCTTTTCTTTGACCAATTATTTTAAACACAAATGGAAAATTAGAGAAAAGGTCACGTTCTCCCAACTGATCCAGTTGATGATATAATGGAAGAACCTCATAAAATTAAAATGAATCAATTAATTTTACAATTTGTATGGTACTTGAAGAGGCTAAATTAATTGGAAATGAATTAGCAGTAAATTGTTGTACTACTAATAAATCATTAACGCCTTAGTGAAATAGCCGCCCCCCCCCCCCTATCAGAGGCGGGGGTTCAAAAATTTTTTTTTATAACTAATGGGAATTGAACCTATGATCTTATGAAGGTTTTGAACCTCCTTGACCACTAAACTACACTTTTGAGTTGTGTTAAGGGGGTTCAAAACTTAATATATAGAGGTAAAAAAAAAATTTGCCTTATATATACAGTGTAATTTTTCGGCAAAGAGGGTTCGGGTGAACCCCCTTCCGCCTCCCTAAATCCGCCCCTGCCCCCTATACTTTCTTACTAGTAGTTCCTATATGTATTTCTTTATTTTTGCACGAAAAGCTTGAAATGATCATTTCAGTTGGATTTTTATAATATATTAAAATAAATAGTTAAGTTATTGAAGTATATTAAAATAAATAGTTAAGTTATTGAAGTATATATGCAAGGACATTGATGCACGTTGTACCAAACTACCCGTCTCAAATTATTTGTCATGTTTCTTTTTTACAAGCTCCTTAGGAAAATATTAATTAGAAGGGGTTTTGGACTATTTTATTCATATTTATGTCTTAAGATATAATCTCTCTTCATTGAACATTTACTCAATTTATGTGCTATCTCCATCTTCAAGAACAATTATTATGAAGGGTAAAATGAAAAAAAAAATTAGTTTCGTCTTGAACTTCGAAAATAATAAATAATTTGAGACAACTATGTTTAGAAAAATTTGAGATGGAGGGATGATCACGCCCAACTATGACTTATAAAAAGGACTAAGCGGTCGTTGCAAATATAATCCGGTTTACAAGTCCGGAGTCGAATCCCACAGAGAACTAAGGGTTAGCTAAAGTTGTTGACTATCACTAAGAAGATAAGCTCAAACAATTCCTATGTTATAAATATTAAGATTCTTATATCTAATTAACTAAATAATTAAAGGAGTAGATTAACAACTAAAGATACTATGGGTTGGAGACATGACTAAGGAGGTCTAGAGTTATGATTTTCCCTATTTGTCGGAATCCTTTCCGCTACGTTTTCTATAAATTTGCCTAAGTCTTCTCTACCGATCATGAGCGCTCTGATTGTCGTAATTCTCTCCCGAGTAACTACCACAATTTACTAGATATATTCTCCCAAATTACGCTAGCTGGCATTAAGTACGGCTCACTCGGATTGCACCAAGGTTTCGTTATCCCTAATCCCACCTTTAAACATTTCGTAGTGATCCCTCATATACGTTAGGAGTGATGTTGCTCGACAACTACCTAAATATGCACTCTCTCCGGAGTAATACACACTAAATAGGCACAGTCGATTGAGAGTTCTTCAACCAACCACAATAATAACGTAGTTGAACAAATAGAGAAAATACTACGTCAAAACTATATTAACGTAACAGGAAAATCATCCTCCAATAGGTTCCATCAAAACCCTAGATAACAAATTAACTATTCATAATAGTATGCATAACTACAATACTAGAATTCATAACTAATAATGAAAATAGGAAGAAGGAAGTGAAAAACTCGTAGAAGAATTCTCCTCCTTGCTCCTAGTGTGTTCTTGCCTCCTTAGGTCCAATCTCCGGTCTCCACGGCGGCTCCGTGCTCTCCCTAGGTCTAAAGTGTGTCAAAAGTCTGTCCAGTCCTCAAAATAGCATTTGTACATGTATTTATACCAAATAGGGTCGGGGCCAGACGAAACACCTTCTCCCGCGCGAAATAGGATAATCACTCTGTAAAATTTGCACTACCGCGCCGCATGGGGCGACGCGCCAGGCGGGGCGGTAGTGAGAAAGTTCAGATCGCTGATTCTGACAGGCTGCAGGAAATTTTCACAGGCGCGGCGCGCCTCGCGCCACTCCACGCGTCGTGGTAGTGGGAATTCTAGAAAACGTAAAACATGAAAGTTGTAGCTCTTTTAAACAGCTTTCCAACAATATATTGTGGAGCCCAAACGGAGTTCTGAGCAAAAAGTTATGTGCATTTTACTAGACAATGTGCCGTATGCCCGCTCGATTCTTCGTTTCGTTCTTAACTATCATCCGTTGATCCTGGAACACGATCCCGGCTTAATTCCTTGAGTTTTTACTCAGACTTCAAAGCTCCAAATCACTTGAATTCATTCCATAATATCGACATAGCTCGGAATCACTCCTACAAGGCATAAAATACACAACTAGTGCAAAACACTAGCGACTAAAGCTTAAATTCAATTATAGTGCAGTACATTAGAGTGTAATAAGCGATTAAAATACACAATTATAGCATATCATCAAGGGAGTAACAATTAAACTTTAAGAGTAAGAAATTAAATAAAAAATACATAAAATGACACATAGTCTTGCAAATATTAATGTGGTACGTACTACCATGCGCCAGGTAAATTTGAGGGTTTTCTGATTTGATTCGTCAGCTTTTGGTTGTAAATTATAGAACACTAATTTTACTAATTCTCAGCCAAACAGTATCTTGATCCATGAATAAGTGTGATACAATTTTTAGTTTAAACGGAATAAAGGAATTTTAGTAACTAAAATATAGTACCGCATACTTGATTCATCGGCTTTTGGTAATAAATTAAAATATTAAATGAAGTTGTAATTTTACTAATTATCAGCCAGGCAATGTCTTAATCCAGGAACAAACTGACGGTAAAGACAGAATTATTAAAGAGTGGGAAGAAAAAGACAGAATTGTTAACGTTGACACTGAAAGGAAAATAGAAAAGGAAAAAAGAAAAAATGGAAACTTTACAGATAAAATTTCCACACACTATCTCTTCTTCATACTAACAAGAAAGCCTTTTTTCCGTCCAAAAGCAGGCACCCACTTTCTCCTCCAGAAAGTGCTTTATGATTAACCCTTTATCAGTTGCAGATTGATCAACCAACTCTATGAAATCAATTTTCTGAGCAAAATTGAGCTTCTGGAGAGAGAATTACAGAGGGATTTGTAAATATTAGTGAATTTGGAGTGATGAGTGGGGAATTTGGAGTGATTAAAGTAGAAGGGATCTGTGATGGGGAGAATACGGTGTTTGTAGCAGTGGGAAAGAATGTGAAGGAGGGCAAATCCATACTCTCATGGGCCTTAAAGAGCTTTTCTGTTAGGAGAATTTGTATTCTTCATGTCCACCCCTCCAATCATTTACGTAAGCTCACTGCCTTCTTTTAACATATGAAATTTGACATTATGCACCTGCAGTATACACACATAAAGTCTTGTTTGGGATTGAGATGCAGTTTTTTGATTGATTGATTCATTGATTGATGCACATAGAAGTCTTCTAATCAATCTAAACATATGAAGGAAAATGTGTCCTTTTTGCTCCTTTTTTTTTTTTTATGACATTCAGGTCAACTTGCGTGCACTTCGATCATTCCACCTTACTCCAATTTTAACTCATCATGCAATTCAACAACTTCCTAATTAGTATACTTTTAACCATAAAAAAAACGAAATAGCTTGTACTAACTTGCTGCTCCATTTACCCTTGAACCCATAGTATATCTGATAATCAACAACAACAAATCCATTGATTTCCCACAAGTGAAGTCTGGGAAGGGTAAGATGTACGCAGTCTTACCTCTACCATGGAAGGGCAGAGAGGCTGTTTCCGGTAGACCCTCCGCCGGAGAAAGGATGAAAAAGAGTAATGACAACAAGTAGTAACAACAACAAGATAAAAGTATATCTGATAATCGCACAACAAAATAGTCCAAAGTTCCCAAACAAAGGTATAATAGTTTTAAATCAGCCTTATCGAGATTATACGTCAAAAATGCTATTTTTCGACCAAATTTTGCATACTTCAGATGAATCTCTAATCTCAACAAGGCCCCAATCGCTCCAAAATAGAATGACACATACTGCATGATGCGTTAGTGATCATGTCAAGCGTGATAATTAATAATCTCTTTTCTTGTTGCTATAATGAATATAGTTCTCTCTATTTGCCAACTATTCAGCCTTCTCTTTTTTCATGAAAATCATAGTCATTCCCATAGTCATAGATGAATGGATTACATTTCTTTGAATTTGCAGTGGATGGGAAGGTTTCAGGTACAAAGCTGAAACAGCACATGGTGAAGGCATGCCAAGAACTTGAACGCCAAAAACTGCACAAACTTCTAAATCAGTATCTTCTCTTTTTATCCCAAGCTGGGGTACATTCTTCTCTTATTCCCTTCTTAGATTGACTTGGCATTGTTAGTTATTCACGTCCTTATATGCTCTATATAAGGTCATTTATGGAACCCCCCCCCCCCCCCCCCCCGTAAAAAAAAAAAAAATAAGATAAATAAATAAAATAAAAATGGGAACTTCATGAAGTGACAGATTCAGTATGCCAGGATTATTAGCCTATCTGTCCCATACTGAGTGGCCCTGTTTGACTGATCACAGCTATTAAGATGAGAGTTGAGATTATAAGTTGTTCAAAATCTAATGGCTTAAGGAAGCACTTTCTTATTTACTGATAAAAAGAAAATTAATGGCGTAACTATCCCTGGGGTTACTCTTAGTCTTTGTGGACCTGATTAGAAAAATGTCATATAAACAAGTCGTAAAAGTGAGCCTTATGTGACTTTATAGTTATGTAATATTTGAGAGTGCTTTGGGTGTTGCAAAAAGAAAAGCTGGATGTCCAGCTTGTGAGCCCCTTGTGGCTTTCATGTTTTATCACATCTAGAGAACTTCCTTTTGAGGAAAGTGACCGCAATTTGGAAGGTTACAGAAAGAAAAGTTGGAGTTCCAGTTTAGTCCAAGTAAGTTGTTTAACATGGAACTTATGCTGAAGATAGGTTCCAATAGCTGTCTTCCAAGTATTGATCATAACATCTTTGCAGAAAGCATAACAATGCTTTGCATGCCTGTTAATGTATGTTGAGATAGAGTAAAACCATATTATTGCTTGCAATAGATAAAGTTGCTAATATTCAAAATATTGAACACTGCTCACTTCTGCAGATACAGGGGGGTAAGGTGTGGCTTGAAATGAATAATGTGGAGAAAGGGATAATACATATTATTGAACAACACAAAATTCAATGGCTTGTCATGGGAGCAGCAGCAGAGACTCATTACTCAAAGTATGACACATTTTTTTCCTTTGAAGATCTATCATAAGAGGAACAGGAAGCTTTGGAACTTTAGGGAATGGTTCTACTATCCATTCAAGTGATTTTAACATTTAACTATGTTACTGACTGGTGCATCTCATTTCATGGGTTTTTTTCATTTACTTTATTTGCAATTTTGGCTATTTTTTTAAACTTTTACTATTCTTCTTCTTTTCGGCTTAATCTTTAGATTTTTACCTTTCTAAATAGAGATTTGCCCTACAGAGTTAAAGGATATTGTGGCTCCTTGTAAAAATTGAAGTTTTTGGTGTAGGACTTATTCTTAAGACTTAAAAATATGATGGCTACTGGCTAGAATTATGCTTCATTTGGCTGCTAAATAACTGCTGCATAATTAGAGTTGCTTGATAACATAAACTCATGCTTTCTACAGGCAGAAAACCCAGCAAGATTTGCTAGAATTAAGTCCTAAGAATTTAATTAAGGGTTTCTTTTGGTATTAGAATTTCCAATAAGCATAATTTTGCTGATTAGGATTCTCTAGATTGCAGACAATTGTCAGAGCTCAAGTCCAGCAAAGCTAAATTCGTGTGCCAGCATGCACCAATCCACTGTCAAATTTGGTTTACTTGCAGCAGCTACCTGATACATACGAGGTATGATGACTGTGGGTGTGAACTCATCCAGATAACATATAAAGCAATGGCCTATATATGTTACTCTATTGTTGCATGATTCACTTTCTCATGATGTGCTTTGTTATCAGAATACTCTTTTGATAGTCATAATCTGCCGTTTTGTATGATGTATCCACACATTTTACAGGTCTGAGTACTAAAAAACAAGTGATCGTCGAATCACACATGTCCTTTTCTTGTCTTTTTCCACATTACAGTGTTCTAGTTGACAGTCTGCTTGTGATGCGCGATCATTGCAACCCCTAAAGTGATATATTTTGTTTTGGACGTAAATGAGGTTACACTGGAAGAAGCTTAACAATATTCATCTGTCAGCTTTTGTCACTTTAATATGCCAGTAATGCTATAAGTGTGTCACTGGCTGTTTCTTTAATGGATTTTCAAGGTCACATTAATATATAAGTGGTCCTTGGGTATCTTTTAGCTCGTTATAACTTCTGATCTATGTAATTCTGACATGCTCCACCTAGAAGTGGAATTTCTGAGAAGTTGTACAACTAGTTAGAAATGTCTAAAAATATCCACCATATGCGCTCTCATCCATATACAAATATCTTCAGAGGTCCACCTTACCTTGGCTACAGGCTCTCAACTCCCTTGTTATCTTGTTTCTGCTGCTTCACAGTCCAATGTTGTTTAAGATTTTTAAGTTCACTTTTTTATAAGTTAAAAGGTTCAAATTTACTTTACCTTTCATATCCCGGTATTCCTCCAAGAACAGAGACAAGGTGTGAGACAGACAACAACAACAACACAGAGGCGGCTGAATAAGTTTGGTGGCCTAAAGCAAAATTTTAATGGGAGGACTTAAAAGAATTTCCTATATTTTTATTTGAAGTAGAGTTTTCTAGCTTTTTGAGAATAAATATTTTTATAATTATTTGCATAAACCATTTAATCTTTCCTATGACATTATTGATCTTAGGTAATAGAACCCGATTCAAGAAGTTGAAAACTTTATATCAGAATAAATTTTTGATATTTCAATATACTTGTAGATTACCCCGGGTAGCTTGGGATTGAAGAATGAGGACTAATTGTTGCTTTTGACAAACAGTTTTCTGAGGTTGACTAATTTTCTTTTTTGTTTCCCTTTGTCTTGCAAGATCTAAGAACTGCTCTCATTTAACTAGCAAAGAGTCATTGTCGTCTCCAAAAGATAATGGAGGAACCAAATTGCATGATCATGCTGATAATGGATATGAAGATTTGAACATTTCGGAAGACGCATCAACGTCAGATGACAAAATGGTTAACGTTGAGATCAAAGGAAACTATTCACTCTTGCGCTCAAAAAACAAGTGTGAAACACATTTACATCGTTCAACATCTCTTCCTATACTGGTAAGCATTGTACTTTCTTATATGGAGATGCCGCAAACTTGTATTCAATATCATGAAAGCTCTTAAGGTGTATTTAAATCTTAAGAGTTGAAGTTATGATCTGTATGAACCTTCATCACTTAATCTCCAACATGTACCAGCTCCAGAATTTCCTTAGCATTAATGTAGAGTTTGTTACAGCTCGTCTTGTTAGAGAGATCGATAGAGAGAGAGAGAGAGAGAGAGAGAGAGAGAGAGAGAGAGAGAGAGAGAGAGAGAGAGAAATGATCGGAAAGTTAACGTAGTACCATCTTGTTGGAGACTGTCATTGGAGCACTTACTGTGACATGCATTATGAAGCTACTAGTTTCTTTTTCCTTTCTGGTTAACATGAAGCTATTATTTATCAAATATCTGATCTAGGAAGAAGGAGGGTTTCACGCGAAACCCTCTAGTGATGAAAGGAGTAGACTGGAGCATGCTATGATGGATGCTGAGAACTCCAAAAAAAGCGCATTTGAAGAGTCGGTAAAGCGATGGAGAGCTGAAGAAGATGCTATGGAGGCTATCCACATGGTAATTCTTGCTTCCTCCTTCAAGTATATCCATCTCTCTGAATCTCCCAGTTACCTCTTCACTTTACCATTTTGTTTTATGCAGTTGTGTGTTTAAGAAACAAGAAGTCGGAAAGTTACGAACCACTGTATGAGATAGCTAAGACTCCTGTGTAGTTTTTACCACTTGATTATCAGTTCTGATCTTCTTTAGTTTCTCTAAGGTGGTAGTTACTATTTTGCATATTCACCATGACTATACTTGTCTAGTTGTCTTATGATGAAAATAACATATTTTATTTGGATTTCTTGCTTCACACCCACACCCATGCACGAGCACACGCGCGCGCACACACACACACACATGTATATTGATATGTATATATCAATTGAATCGATGCATGATACCAGCTGGCAGCTAGTTAGATGTAATGATATGACTTGGTACTTCCACTAGAGCTTGAATCATAGGCGTCTCTGCCCTACTAATACTTTTTGGTGGATAGAAGACGTCCCATATTTTTTTAACATGCTTGTCACTGACTTTGGATTGTCCCAGGCTGAAGTGTCATATAAATTATCCAAGGAAGAGGAAGGCCGAAGGAAAGAAAAGGAGGAAATTTTGGCAAAGCAAAAGGAAGAAGTAGAAAGGATGAAGATTCAGCATGACCTGTGCCTGAAAGAACTTCAGATGATCCAGGAGAAGAAGCTTGTACTAGAAAGTCAAATAACTGAGTCCTCCTATGCAGCGCAGGAGTTAGAGGAGAAGATAATTCAAGCAGTGGAGCTGCTGATATCTTTTAGGAAGAAAAGGGATGAGCTGCAGATAGAGTGTGACAATGCAGTTAAAGAAGTTAACCAGTTCAGAAAGTTGGTAGAAGCTGACACCGATGAGCATTGTATCAAAAATTTCTTTTCAATTTCTTTTTCTGATATCATAGAGGCTACACAAAATTTTGATCCAACCTCAAAGATTGGAGAAGGAAAACTCGGAAGTGTTTACAAGGGGATTATTCACAATGTAAAAGTAGCTATAAAGATGTTACCAGCTTGTGGTTCTTTAAGTGATTCAGATTTCCAACATAAGGTGAATCTCTATGAATCTTGAGATGCTATATTTGTGGTATGTGTGCAATTGCGTTTCTTGTTATATAATTGTGTTTGCTGATTCCTTTTGCACTTCTTTATGCAAGTACTAGCTGCCCTGCTCTATATATTATACACTTCATTCCCGGCATTTTAAAGCTTTAGTTTCAATGAGATTGAAATTTCACACATTCTCCCAAGGGGTGAAACTTTTAAAGTACACAATCTTAGTGAAATGTGGGATGGATAATAATTCTTGAGTGGTTTCATTTCATAGTTCCTATCCCCACCCTCCCCTCTTGTGGTGTCTTTTGTAGGAACCCTTGTATGTTTGTCGTGGGATAAGTGACTTGGTGAAATCTCCTCGATTTGTTTCTTCTTGATCTCAAGTACAGGACAGTCCTTAGATCTACTATAGATGCTCCTGTTCCTTAAATGCGGAGGATTTTGATGCTTTGACAGAATATGAAATTTCCTTCCATTTTCTGCTTTAATCCTCAATAACCTGTTGCTTGAGGAATAAAGCCGCTGTTATCATCTTTGTTCTTATGGAGAAATTTTAAGGCTTTCTGGCGTATGTTGTGTCTACACTTTTCCCATTCTTTGAATAACTGTACATGCATTCAATTTTTTGTTACAGATCCTTGGTTTTACGATTGATAAATAAACAGTTTCTTTAACAATTTTTTTTTGTTCATTACAGGCAGAAAGTTTGAGCAGGGTGAGGCATCCAAACCTTGTTACACTGATGGGGATTTGCTCAGAATCTAGGTCCCTTACCTATGAATTCCTTGAAAAAGGAAACCTTGAAGATCACCTGGCTGGCCGAACAAAATCCCGCCCTCTTTGTTGGCAACATCGGATAAGAATTGCTGTTGAGATATGCTCTGCTCTTATCTTTCTGCATGCCAATGACCCTTGCCTTGTCCACGGAAACTTGACACTTAGTAACATCCTCCTTGATGCTAAATTTATCAGCAAAATTAGTGATCTGGGAGTCCATCTCTTGGTTTCCCATTGTGAGAATTCCAGTATTGATGGCAAATTCTGTGGTAAGGATGACCCAGAGGCTTCTGATCCAGAATGCATCGATAAGGGACAGCTTACTGTAGAATCTGATGTTTACTCATTTGGTATTATACTTTTACGACTTTTGACTGCAAGACCAGCTTCAGGTATAGTGAGGGAGGTCAAGTGTGCTTGGGAAAGTGGGAACTTGGGTTCAGTTTTGGACTGTTCAGCTGGTGAATGGCCAACTGAACGAGCGAACCTGTTAGCTTATCTAGCATTGAGGTGCTGTGCGGAGGATCCTTTAAATCGACCGAATATGCTCTTAGAAGTCTGGCCAACAATTGAGCCAATGAGAGATGTATGCACACCATGCCCGGATTCAAATACTTCATCTCAGGGTTCCAAGGGTCAACGACGAATTCCTCCTCATTTTGTTTGTCCTATCTTCCAGGTAAGCTTAAGATATATGATTGGTTTTCTTTTTCATAATTAGATGCTTTTACCTCCTAAATGGAGATGTATAAATTGTCTGTGTGAGATGCTCCATTTTCGTGATCAATGCTTGTTTTGTGTGAGAATATGTATATAGCAATCTAGCATTCAGTCTTGTGTTGAGCACTCATTCTATGTGAATCTACATAATACTCACGTTCACTCAATAACATGTTAGGTTGCGCTAGCAAGCGACTAGGATAAGAATGTCTTAATTTCTCTCAGGTGATACGAAACATGATATGAATGACGAATACTTCGCATGTAAAGAATTAAAGAAGCCCCTATATCCTTGGCAGTTGCGCTTTCCTGACTTGAACCAAGAATAGTGTAAGATACTATCAAGAATCAAAATGTACAGTCACAATAGTGGAGCCGGAAACTCTGATCACAACAACTAAAACGTTTAAGCTAAAACAATTTTTGAACGACCACCTTTGCCACTATTCTAGGAGCTTACATTATCTCAAGGGAAGTTCGATAATTTGTGTATGTGTGTGTGTGTATATATATAAACACACACGCACACGCACACGCACACTATTTTCACAGTATAATTTTTTGAGGAATGGAATTTAATTGAATTATTGAAACCCCTTCGTTATATGTAGTTCTGCGCTGTGTACAGATGGTTGCTGAGACTTCATATCTGGTATACTTTGTGTGTCCTGTTTGATTGATGTCTTATCTTTTCCATTACACTTATCAGGAAGTTATGGAAGATCCATACATAGCAGCAGATGGTTATACATATGAAGGTGATGCAATAAAAGGATGGCTGTATAGCGGACATGATACTTCTCCAATGACAAACCTTAAGCTGGATACCTGCGATCTAATTCCCAATTATGCTCTCTATCGCGCAATTCAGGAATGGCAGCAACAATCCTGAAACTCATTAGGGTCTATAATGCCTTTTACAAACAAAAACAGCTACAAAGTTGATATATACACCGAAATAGAAAGTTAGCCATACCTCTTGGTAGTCCCACTGAGTTAATGCTTGGATTTAACTTATTTGAACTTGTCAGGAAAAGTATACAAGTCTTAGGGTGTGTTTGGTATGAAGGAAAACATTTTCTGGAAAATGTTTTCCAATTTTTCCATGTTTGGTTGGATTAAATGTTTTGGAAAACATTTTCCTTATCAATTCATTTTTCTCCAATTGGAGGAAAATGTTTTCCTTATCAAAAGAAGGGAAAACATTTTCCAAAGCTCCTTCTCAACCTTTCTCACCCTCACCAACCCACCCCACCCCACCCCCTTTCCAAAAAAAGGTTTTTTTTTTTAAATTTCAGTTTTTCCGTTACCATCCACCCTACTACCCATCCACCCCCCCCCCCCCCGCTTAAAAAATATTTTTTTACCTTAAATTTTTTTTTTTTTGCAATTTCAAATTTCTGTTTTTCATTTTTCTGCTAACCCCCCCCCCCCCCCACAATTTTTTTTACTTTTTTTTTTGTAATTTAAATTTTATTTTTTTGTTTTACTGTCCCCCCCCCCCCCACCCCACCCCACCCCCCCGAAAAAAATTTAAAATATATTTTTTAGTTTTTAATTTTATTATTTATCAATTTAAAGGCTCAAAATTTTACAAGTTCCAAAATTATGAGTTCAGAGGTTTATGTGTTTGGAAGTTTACGAGTTCGAAAATACGCGGTTTTTGCGTTAAAAAGTAAAGCATCACATTAGTTCCTTTAGATTGTGTCAATTTTTAGAGACTTCGGGAAGGGGTGGAGGAGGGGGAGGGGTGGGGGGAGGTGGGAGGGGGAGGGGGAGGGGTGAGGAGAGTTGCATAAAAAATATTTTTCTAAAAAAAACTATTTTCTACTCTCTAACCAAATAATAGAAAATATTTTCCACTTACCAACCAAACAAGAGAAAATAAGTGATAAAACCACTCATTTTCTAGGAAAACATTTTCCTTTCGTACCAAACACACCCTCAGTGCAATATTGAGATGTATAGATTTTATTACTATGTACATTGCATACTTTGCATATACAAATATAGAGCAAAAAGGACGGCTCCCCTGATCTTCACTGTGTTTGACATGGCAAAAGTTGTTTTCTGGGAGAAATTAATTTTCCAGTATTTGTTACCCTGAATTGCCGAATATGTTCTCTCTTGGGAAAATATTTACCTTGATTAAATTATTTCCCAGTATTTGAATTGCTGGATATATTTTCCTTGATTAAATTATTTTTCAGTATTTTGTTAACTTTGGTGACTTTGGCCACTTGTGGAAAAAAGTAATTTTCGTTTACAAGTAATTGCAGTTTTACTTAATATTATTGTCTTTAATCAACACTTACACATTATTGTCAATCTTTAATGCTCAAAATTACTACCAAAGCACTATCTTCATATCTTGCATCTACCTTATAAAGTTACTACTATATGTTATCTACTTTTTTATCATTCAAATACTAGAAAATGTTACATAAAATAATTTTTCAAAACAAAACAGTTTCGAATGGAAAAATAATTTTTATATACATATATTACATTATATTAAACATATTCTCAACTATCTAGTGTTTAGTTTGCTTTCAGGTGTAAAAATCGGGTAAATTTTAAAAATAGCCAGATTTACAATTGGTCGTTCAAAAATAGCCCAATTTCAAAAGTAATTGAAATTTAGCCACTTTTTATATAAAGATAAATCTGAGCGAAAACACTGTTCAAAAACCGGAAAATATTCCAGTATATTATGCTGGAGTTCCAGCATAAGTATACTTGAACTCCAGCATATTATACTGGAGTTCCAGAATAAGTATGCTGGAACTCCAGCATAATATGATGGAGTTCCAGCATAAGTACACTAGAACTCCAGCATAATATACTGGAGTTCCAGCAAGTATATTGGTCTAGTATAATATACTGGAGTTTGGAGCACCGATGCTCCAGTCTCCAGTATATTATACTGGAGCCAGCAAAGCATACCGGTCCAGCATAATATGCTGGAGTTCATACACAAGTGCATCGAACTCCAGTATATTATGCTGGACCGGTCTCTATTGCAGCAAAATAGTGGTTATTTTTCATTGACTTGGTAAACGCTGGCTATTTTTGATTGACCAGTCCGAAAACTGGCTATACTGTGCTATTTTTACGTACTCTTCATGAAATGGGTGCAAAGCCCATTGGGGTTGGGTTATAATTTTGTGTTGGGCCATCACGATTCACATCACATGCTTCTTTTACAGGAAGAAGAACAATCTAGAACAACTGTCTGGCACAAAATCAAGGCGAATCCCAGGAATCTCATTAAAGCCTACTAGTCAATTTCTTTTTTTTATAATAATGGTGGTGATAGCGACTTTTCAATTCTCCTGTTTTTTCCTTTTCATTTAGTTGCAATTTTGCACGAATTGTGGAAGAGGATTTACATTAAATTCATAATAAGAGGACAACTGCGGGCGTTTGTTCCAAAAATATGTCAAGTTTTTCATCTCCTTGTAGTAACAATTTTAAAACGGAAACTATCCAGAGGCACTTTTAGCTTTTAAAAAAGTGAATGACTTCTTATAAAATTATTTGGTTAGAAAATGCAAATTGAAAAATCTCCAAAAGACGTTTTAGTAACCAAGATGTTAAAATCCAAAACATAATATCGTAAGTCTAATCTCAATAAATACATAACACGTGTCTTCAAATATCATTTTATAACAAGCACTATATATATATGTATCAAATAGTCACAAACAATTGATAAATGTACGCCAGATCTAGTATTTAAAGTTTATAGATTTTAGATAAGCCTCAAGTTAATATACAATAATAATTGAAATTACAATCAAATATTTATAGATATTGACGTAAACTTCCTATTACATATACAAGTTTGAGCAAAAAATTACTAAATGTAGGCTAACATAATACATTTCTTTTCTTGGTGATAACAAAATATTTTCAATTCCAATGTATTTTTTTTCCTGAATTCCAATGTATGAAAATGAAAAAAGTCAAAATATATTTGGAATTCAATAATAGATTTAGCAAATATATATTTTACTTGCCATACTTGCTCAAAAGGTTACATATTTTTGCAACTTTACACATTATATTCTCCCTTTATTTTCTCACACTTTCCCTACTTCTCACTCTCCCTCCCTTTGGTCCCTCTGCAGATTTCGCCGACTCCTCCTCCCTCTCCTAATATATATATATACAAAAGGCTCCAGCTATACACACATTCATACATATATTCACATAGTCTTTTTTTCTCTGTACCGGCGACTTTCAATCCCTCCGACCGCCGGTGATCCCTCGATACTTTTGCGGCACTGGTGTGTATTCTAAACTCTACTGAGGAGTATTCTTTTTCTATGTTTTGTACCGGCACGTGCCGATCACGGATCACGTCACCTCAAGCCCTAATCTGACGCACTTTTTCTTTCCTTTTAATCAAGTTAACTCTACTTTGATCTGATATTAATGTACTATTTGTTATTGCTTTGTTATTTCATTCATATCATAGAGTCTTATTTATTTTTATTGGAACTTTATTAGTTCTATGAGTTGCTTTACTGTGTAGAAGTTGTATATCTTTATTAAATTTACAGCAACCTAAGCAGTGTATTAAACTACTGAAGAAAGTTTAAATTTTGATGCGCTAAATGCGAATGCGCTAATCAGTAACTATGATTCTCATTCTGCATTGGTGATGGAACGGGGAGCTTTTTTCAAAAATTAATATTCTTATTCTAAATGCTGTTGAATTCAACATTTGAGCCCGGTGTACAAATTTATCTATTGTAATTCGGCTCTATGAGTCATTGTTGAAATGATAATTGATGGTGAATGCTGCAAACCTCATTATTGGGAATGATACCTTGAGATTCAGTAAAAAGTTTTGAATCCCTTGGCTTTGGTCCGATAGTAAGATTGCCACACGTGATGTGTGGATTAGGCGCATGTCATAGGTTAGAACACTGCCGCAGACAGAAGCCTGGTATTTAGGTGGAGAAGGGTAGAGGAACAAGCCCATTATCGACCAGGTTGTAGATTCTGCACCCCTGGCCCTTGGGTATTTCTTGGTTACTTATTAAAATAATAAGAAGTTTTGAAACATTATGGTTAACAATCCTTAATGTAGGTATGGTTCCTAACCATAATCTTTAGGAAGGAAAATCTTACTTTTTCTTTGATAAAGTAATAAAGGAAGGAAGATCTTACATAAGAAGGATAATATTAAAATAAGGTCTGTTGTTAGAAATAAGATTAGGTGAGCTTCTAGTTTTGACAACTGATTTCGTTATCCAACATTTATGTATCTTGTCTGATCATATGGAATCCTTAATTGCATTGAAAAGGATGGAATCTAATGCCTTAAAAATAAATTTGAGATTTGGTTGGGATATTTAAGGAAGTTATTAAGAAAACTCTGTTCTGTATAAACAGTAGATTATTTTCATCGAGATGGTTAACAAGACTGATTATTTGACAGCACAAAATTTACCTCTTAGTTTCTCTTCTACTTCTGTCCACCTATTCAATAAGCATACATGGTAAGGATCTTCAGGATTTCAAGTTAGTTGAAGGGACTGGTATACACTTCACAATAAAGCGGTAAACCTTTTTCTTGTTGAGATGTTCAAGGAAATCCAGCTGTACCAATAAAAGTCAACTGTACTTGGCTTTTAAGGAGAGACTGCTGCTCGAGATCAATTAGATCTATACTATAGAAGGTGAAAAATTGCCCTCAGGGCCTAGCTCAAGTGGCAAAGGGTGGTGAATTTGTGTCTTAGGTCACAGGTTCAAGCCCCCACACCATGCAAAGCAAAGCCTGGTATTTAAGTGGAGAAGGGTAGAGGGGCGGGCCCATTATCCACCGAGTTTCGAAGGCTGCGGTTGGTCTAAAGGATCGGCCCAAGACGGATTTCTCGGTCATCAAAAAAAAAAGAAGGTGAAAAATTTATCTAGCCTTCTTTTAGTGTCCCATTGCCTTTTAACCAGTAAATTTTCTATTTATTCATTTGTTGATAGGATATCTGCTTTTTCAAAACTCTTCTTCTAGGTGCAGTAAGAAAAAGAAAAGAAAGAGAAGTTTCGCTGGTTGAATGCTGGAAAAACCATCTTTCTTGCATGAATTGCACTCAATTGCTTCAGTTGTAAAACGAGCTTGCGTCACAGAGTCAATTGCATCATAGTTGAAAGAATATTTTTAAAATCAGGAACGATTGGAAGAATATTTTCAAACAAGGTAGTAGTTGTTGATAGTGGAAGTAGGCTTGCTAAATAATTAAATACAATTTAAATATGCACACTTGGGATCAGCTGCTCATTTAATACTCGAAAATTAATCTGTGAAATGACCAATGCATGCCTAAAGTTCTAAAGCTAACAAGGTAGATAAGTTGAGTTTGTAAAGCTAATCACCAGGATTTTTTCTGCTTCAATGTAGGGTTTGAATTTTTTACTTAGCCAAGGGTATCCAGAAAAACTTCAAAGAAGGTTTGCATCTTTGGAATAGAGGTCAACTTAAGAGATTTTCCAAAATCCTTTAGAAGTGAACCTCTTTTTGATTAGTGAAATAAGTGTTAGGCCTGGTTCCCGGATAGGAACTGTCTGAGTAACAAATCAGTACTAGAATATCTTCTGCTTTATGTTGATCTCAGGTGCCTGCCGAAAATAATTTATGCTTCTGAGTGACAATTAGTAGAATAACTGAGATAGGTATCGGCAAAGTAGAAATTTTTATTTTGCTTACTCTTTTAGTTTCCAGATGTTTTGGATTTGCTATATAGTTGTTTTAGGTCAGAATGTTTTAACATTGTGGCTGTTCATGCAAGTAATTCTTTTTATTTCTTTTCTGTCCATTTGTTTGCTGCAATTTTTCGTAACTCAGTGGCATTCTGTGATTGTATCTTCAATTTATGAGTGCAGTTTCAAAATTTTTATTTTCAGTTGAAAAATTTAATAGTAGTGTCTCTTCCAGGTTATGTGTAAAGATACAAGTTGTGTTCATCTTTTCTACTTTTTTCTTGCCTTTTTTTTTTATTTTTATTTCTGCTGTAAAAACACATATCTTTTGCAGTTCTTGCCTGCCATGATGAAGATATAGTATATCTACACAAGCACAACTCAGAAACATGCACGTACAGATATATCTGACTCGTGCGGCAGAATATGCGATATTAGTTTGGACTGTCGATATCTAATTGATAACTTCTTCTGCAGTACGATTTTATGAGCCATTAACTGAGAATACATGTCAGTTGGAAAGCTCAGAATAGGTGCTACTCCAGCTGCAATGAAAGCCGATGAGGGAAATGATTCGCTTGATACTTTGATTAGGCAAGCCATAGGCAAGGAGCCTCTTTTTTCTTTTTCAAGAACAGGGGATGGTCCTGTCCAGTGGTTTCAACTGCTTCATGGTTTAGAGCAGCAAGGTAACAAAGTAACGTCTAAAAATGGATGCATTCATAGCATACAGCATTTCTCTAGGTTTTTGAGCATATTAGATAAGTTAGTCAGGTAAGTCACCAATATTTCAGTAGGTCTGAATATCTTGTGGTTGTGAAGAATGTCAAGCTTTTGGCAGTACTTGTCTTTTGTGTGTTAGAGGCAGAACCCTTCAAGTACATGAAATGGACTAAAAATTGGTTACCTATGGAGCTACAGTTGAAGCCATGGGGATTGATTTTGGTTTATGTGGTTCTTTGTGCAGATAATGCTGGTGGTTGGCCAATGCTAACACCGTTAAAACTTCAGAAGTGTGAAAAATGTTCTCGGGAATTTTATGCCCCTATAAATTATCGGAGACATATGCGTCTGCATCGTCGAGCTTTAAACTTTGATAAGGTATCTTTAGATGTCATTTTCCTTTATATTACTTTATACTTCCAGAATAACAAGTTCGTTTTATTCCAGAAAGTTATAGGTTTACTGTTGCATATGTAAACCACCTTTTTCCAATATAATTTCCATTCTGGTGACCTTTACAATGTTTTGTTATAAAACTTTGTGCAGTTGTGTTTGCTTGTCAATAATTTGAATATGGGTGTGATACATGTGCATCTTATTATTTGTTCACATTTTGCAGGAATCTCGCAAATACAGGGATCTGCTGGGAGCATTTTGGGATAAGGTACTCCCCTCTGCTCCCCTCTCTAAATTTTCTTTGTAGTGTTGTTCAGTGTCCTTTGTTCCATATGGCCATTTATGTGTGCATAACTACATGCAGCTCTCAGTGGATGAGATTAAGGAAGTTGTATCGTTGCATGATGTTTCAATAAAGGTAAGTACCAGATTCACTTTACCTGTCTTAGGTATTTGTTTGCCTGGAATTTGAAGTGAGTTTTTTTAACATGCAAATTTTGACCTTATAAAAAAAAATTGCAAATTTGAGACAAATGGATCATCTAAAATCAACCACTGATCATCAAATTGCTTGCAGTGATTGTAGTAGGATAATTGATGATGTGCTACAAGGTGCTTCTTACATCTCTGACGTATATATGTGAAGTTGACAATAGTATGTTTGTATTCTGCATGTTCTACCTTTCTATGAGAAATTACAGCTTAATTCTTATATTTGGCAACTTGCACTAAGTTCCATTTCCCTTTATAGAGAGGTAGCAGGCTGATTATTACCACACAAGTAATTGTTAATGTAGAGGTTAAAGGATCTATTTTTTTATTAAAACTATCTCTTTATTTCATATAAATGTCTACTCATGCTAGAAATCTCTAGCTTGTTTATAATAAGCGTACGGCTGGCGGTAAATTTTCTTTAAAAAGTGACTGTTAGACTGTAGTACGCTAGAAAATTCTAACGTTTCATTTGCTGATCTTTACAGTTACAAAGGATCATTTTTGTGGTTGATAATGTCTTTCAGGACCTTGCTGGATCTTCACTTGTTAATGACCTGGCAACATCTCTGCAAAAGATGGCGATTTGGGCTCATCCTCAAGATTATTATAAGGCTGGTTTAGCTTTGTTGGTAAGTAATCTATTTCAACTTCCTGTCAAGTGCTATCGATGCCCTTCCCCAACAAAAGAGAAGTGAGCAGAAGAGCCAATAATGCTCCTAGTTAATTTGCAGGAAGTCATCCAAGGTAAACCTTCCAAGCTTCCAATTACCTCTCAGGAATTATTTAGCATCCTTGATGATGCTAGCGAAACGACATTTTTATGTGCCGGCACAGCCGAGTCGGTGCAAAAATATGTTTTTGACGGGTATGCTGCCAAAAAAGGTCTCGAGTTGAAAAACATGGTTGCTTGCGCTAGCTTCCTTTTTGAACAGAAACTGGTAGTTCTTTCTTCCTTACCGCTTAATTTTTTTTTTTTATTTCTTGAGAACTAGCTAGCTTTATGTTGTCTATGTGTACATGTCTATAGAAATATTAACACCATGCACCAGCATACTGCATTGAAATGAATGTTTCTAGGTTAATTTTTTGATATATTTTGGGAAATGCTAATAGTTGTGCAAAGCATTCTCTGTTTATTTTTCCTTTTTCTCGTATCAGACTGATCCTGTCCTTTAAACTAACCTGCACAGTGACTTGTGTCTTGTTATGCCCAGGTAAAAGCATGGTTCGCAGACAAAGATGCTGAAGCTATGAGATGCCAGAAGTTGCTTTTTGAGGAGGAAGAAGCTGCTCAAAAAAGGTGAGGCACTGTTTACTGTATTTCTCGTTCTCTAATATTGCATTTTCGTGTGTCCCACTAGGAATTATGGCTTTTACTGATCATCAATTTTCTTATGTTCTTAGTAGGTAGTCAATAATTGATAAAGAGGCATTCCTTTTATTTTATGGAATGAAGTGTTAGAAAACATTTACATACTCGAGGTGTGACTATTTTTGTAAACAGATTTATATGTTGTGAAGTTGTGCTCTTGGAGTTTATCCCCTCTTTTCTTGAAGCAGATTGCTTTTCATTTAGTTCTCAATCCCAGAAATAGTATATGGATATAAAGAGCCATGTATGGAGATAAAGAGCCATTTTCACATGTTTTGAGGACTGGTGATGTTGACATTTATATCCCTATTAATGTGGCCAATAATTTCCTCTGGTTTCATAGCTACTTGTTTTGTTACTTGTTCTTCGCCAACTGATTTGTATGTCTGGAAAATAAATAATGAGATTTCAATAGCTTTTTAAGCATTTCCGGAAGGGGATAGAGTGAGACTGAACCAGCCATTCTTGTTCATAGTTGTTGGGAGAGTTCTCTTCATGCCATGTCAAGAGTTCGAGGCTGAAAGTTGTCAGCAGTGAAAGCGATAGAGTGAGACACAAATCAAAGGGGAAAATATTCTACATGCTTAACAACTCCTAGCTACTTGAAAGATTTGTTATCACTTACATAAAAATAAAATAAGATACATGATTTGCCTCCAGGGTATTGTTCTAGTGGTAAGAGCACAACATGTGATGCAGATCATCGTTCAAATCCTGCTGGCTGCTGCAGACAAATGCTTGGTATTTAAGTAGAGAAGGGTAGAGGGGAATGCCCATTATCTATTGAGTTTAGAACCGTCCGTCACTAGCCCTCGGACTTTTCTCAGTTATCAAAAAAAAAAAGAATAAGATACATGATTATATTTTCAGTTCTGCAGTTACAGAAACTCATTTCACTATCATTCTTGTTTTCTTGTAGACAAGCTGAGCTGTTGGAAAGGAAAAAGCTGAAAAAGCTTAAGCAGAAGGAACAGAGAGCAAGAGAGCAATCAAATTGGGAAAGGGGAGATTTGGAGGTACCTGCTGATTCTTTTGAAGGTCCAATAGCAGAATCTTCTGTCCGTTCAGCGGCAGCATCTGAATCCAGTTCTAGTACTCCCGAAGTATCTGCTGATATTTCCTCCTGCCTTGAACTTGTTCATTTCTCTAACAATGAAACTATGGACATTGAAGCCCACTAAATATCTCTTATCCGCACCTGGATCTGGTTGAAATTCAGGATGTTGAGCCCCCTCCAGTGTCTGCAAATAGTCGACGGCATTTCCCCCACACCCAGTGGCAAGTCGCAAAATCACAAAGAACAGGGAGAAATGGTTTTCGTAACAGCCAGAATCATGAAGTACAGAATCTTGAACCAGTACAGAAGCATGGAGTTATTAAAGACCGAGGTGCCCCTGTTAATGGCAGTAAGATTTGGACAAGAAAAATTAGAGTGCAAAATGGTGAGCGCTTAAGGCTGGATCCGCAGAAAGAGGCAGTTGATCAAAATCAGAGTAACTGTGAAGTGATGATTGGTTCTATATCTGTTCCAATGAAAAATTGCAGCACACATGGACAGGGTAACTGTCCTGCTGTCGAAAGAGATAACTTTGAAAGCACAGAGCCAGCCATGCTACAAAAGTTAAATCATGTACAGAAGCCAGCAAAGCACGATGTTCTTCAGGGTGGGTCAAATGGAGCAGCTGTGAAGCTCTGGAGGCCTGTGAGCAGGCATGGAAGTGGAGGACAAGATCCTGGAGAGGATGTGATCTCTGTAAAGTTGGACAATCGGACTTCCTCCACTGAAAATAATTTGCGATTATGCTCGAGGGACAACCCTACTGGCAAGAGTAAGAATTACACATGTCAAGTTTCAGATGGAAATGTTCTTCAAGGTCTGGGATTTTGCAGTGTTTCTGCGAAAGCTTTTCTATCTCAGAGTATGTTTCTATGCTCTTATTCATCTCCTGCTCTAGGTTTTCTACCTGCTTATTATCAGCTTCATATTAGTCTGACTGGTTTGAATAAATGTAGGATGGAAGGAGGCAATCTCGGGAGATCATGTTAGATTAGTCCTTTCCGATGACACTGAGGTTTCAGGACAGTCCGACACGCAAAATGGCAGTTCAGAAGCAGCCCTGCCATCAGCTGATCAGGACCATGGTATTCTTGTCAAAGCTGACAACCAGCAGGCAAATACTGCAGATCTTAGTTTTTCGTCCAATGGCAACAGTAAGGTCAAGTTTAGGCAGAAGCCTGACAAGTCTACTAAGATAAAGTACATACCAAAGCAAAAAAAAAAAAAACCATAATTTAGTAGGATAAAGGTATTTCATGGTTATAATACCAGATTGTGCACAGCTTTTACAGTCCAGCAGAGGTTCCGTTTTACCTGTGGTCTTCTGTCAAAGAGTTGAAGGAAGGTTTTCTAGAGTATACAGTCCCATTGTCGCTGCATTATGGCTAGAGTATACAGTCCCATTGTCGCTGCATTATGGCTAGGGTAGTTTTCTTTTTGCAGCTTCCAATTTTTCTGTAATAAGTTGGCTTTCTAAATTTTTTGATCTCAGTGCTCGTCATTTTCTGCCGTTGCCGCTCAACTAATCTCATGTTTTCTCGGATAATATGTGAATATAGGATCAATTGATAAGATAGTCCCAATTATTTACAGAACAATTAGATTAGCACTCACTCTGAGCTTCTTCTAAATTATTTTTGGTGCTTTTTTGGTTCAGTCAAAGACCCCACTTGTATGATTATACTGAGTTTGTTGTTGTTTACTAAGGGATAACCTTCTTGCTACATCTGCGTATTCAGGCGCCACAGGATATTCGCACTCTTTGGTTCTCTGCACTGGCTGTTGATCTTTTTCTATCCTCCTAAGAGAACATATGAAGAAGGTTCATTCCTACTTGTACAATATAATTCCTGACGACTTGACACTACGGTCAGTCTTTTGTTGCCCAGCTTAGAATACGTACTTAAGTAACTGACTAGGATTGATCTGTTTCTTCAGTTTTCATGTGGAGGCTATGCAGATTGATCATGTTTTAACAGGAGTAATATCATTATTACACCCGTTGTATAATTATGAATACTCTCCCTTTCAAGTCAAATTTAACTGGTGTTGAGTTTAAGATTAAAATGTTGAACAGATAATAATAATAATAATAATAATTATAATAATAATAATAATGATGATGATGATGATGATGATGATGATGATGATAATATTAATATTAATATTAAACTTAATCGCTAGAGAAGTTAAGTTTTCAGCAAAGTCATCTAAAATAACTTTTAGGAAATGTGTTTAATTGACTGTGAGCTTCCCAAAGATGAAGAGTCTTTGAGCACTTCTCTTTCGATATTATTTTTTCTAAAGTTAATTTTCTAAAGATAATACTAAACAAACATGCAACTTTACCTTTTGAAGACTAACCAATAGGAAAGAATGTCTATTTTACTTTTTAAAAGGTTAGTAATTTTTTATGATCATTGTTTGACCAAAAAGTATGAAACCTTTTGTTAAATTAATTAAATAAGAAGATAATGAGTAAATCCTAGCTAAGCATAATAAATTCTAGATCTGAAACTTGTTTGTACAAATAATGTGGGATTGCGTTAAAACCAATTTAATACAACGCGTTTTATTAAATGATGTTGTTATGAGTGAGTGGGGAAGAATGGTAGGCAATAAATATATTAAATGGCAATAAATATAAATAGAGAGAATGATTCACCCAATATTGAGGTGGATGATTCCTCTTTCTCACAATGATGTAAGACAAATGGATATGAGAATGTAAGAAACTTTCTAGGATCTGATGCGAGAAATGGGGGATAAACAGCAAATCGAATCTCTATGGAAAGGCAATATTTGTATTTTACTAGAGAGTCAACTTTTCATAAGAGTTCTTATCACATATAATATTACATACCTTTTTCTTCTCTCTACCTTTCTATTTATATGGGATATATCCCTTATCTAACATAAAGTACAGGTGCAGAGAATATTCAATAGAATATTCCCCTAAAATGTCTTGCTACAAAATTAGCCGTTATGGCCGGCCTGAGTATTCGACCTCGACCCCGGTTACTCAGCTCACCAATAGGTTCCTTCCATCTTGAGTACGACCTCGGCCTAATCATCTCTTAGTAATCTGTCTTTGAGCAAGATTTCCTTGGTCAGATTTCGACCAATACAGTTAGTCCCTCCGCCCGTCGATGTTGTTTTTTAGACGAGCTCGATGGGCGGACTTCGCCAGTTGTAACTTGAGAAATCTGGCGTGCAGGCCGAGTAGTAACATTTTTATGGCAAGGTGACGACGTGGCGCTTCGAGAGCCACATCTGACCGTTAAGTCAGTTTGAAATGACATCATCTCAACATGCGTCATTATGGCGCATGTTCGCGATATGTTACATCGTTTCCCGCGCCCCTTCCGTTTCGAAATCAATATGGCGACGCTTGGCTTTCTCGATTAAGATGCCATTATTCTTATAGATAGGGATGGGAACCCCCCATTTGATTTGTTGCATTTCTAAGTATTTGGATCTTCAAGCTTTCTCTTCTTCCCCTCAGAGTTCTTGCATCCTTATTTCTCCCTATTTTAGCGCTTTCTTCCCTTATCACCCCTTTCGTATCTTCAATTTCTTCCCATTTACGTAACAAAAAATGGCTTGTGCATCTTCTAACTTTGAGAGAGCTTCTGATTCGGTTCCATTGACAGTGTACATGCCTTCTCACAATGAAGGAGAAGCTACGACTGCAGAAGATGAGAGTTTCCCCACTATGGATGAAATAATTCCACGCTCAGAAAGGGCCAGGTTGGACTTCTCAAAGCGGCTTGAAGATGATCCTGAGCCTGCTATCTCTGAGATGGATGCGGCAGCCCTTGTTGAATTTAGGGCCAAATGGCAAATCCCGGACCATATCGACCTCATCTCGGCTGGTGACGATGTGGTACAAATTCATTGCCCTGGATATTCCGCATTCTACGCGTATCCATTAGTTGTTGGCTATTCGCTTCCTCTTCCTTCCTTGGCGGGGGACATCTGCCGCTATTGTCACAACCCAATTTCTCCCTCCGTGAACTGTCGTGACGACACCTAGTCTCTACGACTAGGTAAGCCTAATATTGCGGAAATGAAATGAAAATACAAAGATAACATCCAACAGATATAGTTAATAAGCAGAAAAAGATGCCACTCGGTGTGTACAATTATCACTACTTAAATGTACGAAACAATTCCCAAAACCCGAAAACCCGCAAGTCACAAGCTACTAAGAAGTCTTAACTGTTCTATACATCATTGCTACAGAAAGGAAGTGAAATGAACATAGGGGGATAGAGGGGGGCTCCAAGAATCTGCGGGCACGGGCAGATGTACCTTGAAGTCTCCAATAAGCAGCAGCGACTGCGAATAGTGATCTGGTACGATGAACCTGGATCTGCACACGAAAAACATGTGCAAGAAAGGGAATGAGTATACCACAACGGTACCCAGTAAATGCCAAGCCTAACCTCGATCGAGTAGTGACGAGATCAGGTCAGGGCCCTACTGGTATAAAATATAAATGAAATAAGACAGAATGAAATATCGCAGTAAAAATCGATATGAAATTCTAACAGAGATAAAATCAATGAAAGGAAATAGCCCACAACACAGTGATAACAACGGGGGATCTCCCGAGATACCGTCTCGTAGTCCCAAACGTAAATGTGTAGGGGGATCTTGTTGATACCTAATTTTTCCCAAAACAATTTTAAAATGCTATATGTCTTCAAAATCATGCATTAGCATCAACTGGTATTTTTTCACAATTTCTACATTTTTAATTAATTTGCCCAGTATTTTATTTCTAATAAATAATTACAAAATTGAATCACAAATGATTTCAAAAAATATTTCTTGATTTAATATTACTATTTATGGCCCTATTAAGTCCAAATTATTCCATAAATAGCCGAATTGGCACCTTTTGGCTATAATTGCAATAACTTTGCAATTATAACCCATGCATACATTTTTGTATTATTTTACAAAAAATTAGTCCTTTGTATTTTTAATACTAAACAACTATTTTTAAAATATTTCTATGCATGAAATTCATTTTTTATAATTAGTAATTATTTTAGAAATTATTTTTATTAATTTATTTGGGGTATTTAACAAATAGCCTTTTTTAATTTCAATTTTAGCCTAAGTCTACCCGCCCAACACCCTTAAAACCAGCACCCTTAAAACCAGCCCAATAAACCCAAGCCCAATACCCTTACCTACCCGACCTAATTCTTGGCTAATCCTGGCCGTTGATCATCTTTGATCAACGGCCCAGAAACCCCTTACCATAATTAAACCAACACACCCCTCTAACCCTAATCACTTCTCACATCTTTGATCAACGGCCCAGAAACCCCTTACCATAATTAAACCAACACACCCCTCTATCCCTAATCACTTCTCACTCCTCCCCGCCGTCACTCTCCTCTCCATCTCTCAGATGCTCTCTAGAATTCTCCCCCCGTCGTCACTCATCTACCGCCATTCATGGTGGTTCTTCACCACCCCAGGCCTCTAATGGCCCCTTCTATGCTGGGTACCTCCGTCTCTAAGGTCCTTGAGAAGATTCTCAAGGGACCAGGGCTAGTCTGCTTACGCCTCTGGGTTTTTCTTGCTTGTTTCAGGCCATTCTGGTTCGATTTCGAGTAAGAACTTCTTATTTCGCCTTAAATCTATGGATTTCTAAGCCTATGTCTTCATCTCTGTCTCACTTCTGAAACCCCTAATTTTGTCCTTTGATGTTCTCAGATCTGTACAGATCTGAGAAGAATCGGACCTATTTTATATATTTTTCATGAAAATCTTCTGGTTTTCTAAAAGTGACTTTCCATTTTCCTAAAGCTAGGGTTTCCTGAAAATCCTTTTCTCCAAAATGTTTTCTGACTTTGAATGTTTAATCTCCTGTCCTTATGAGTTTTGACCGATTTATGCTGAGCTTGCCTCAACCCTAATTAGTTTATGCTAAAACCCCAATTTTCTGATATTTTTGCTTTGACTTTGAGTCTGTCCGTGTTACTTGCCACATTATTTGCTTTGATTCTCATGATTTTCCTTTAGCCTAATTCGATGTCTTGTGATTTTTACCCTAGTATGTCTCTATTAGGATTTTTTATTCGATTCTCGACTGATTCTGTGTGTTTATACTTGGCCTGTTTGTTTATTCATGGAAACCTATATTATTCTCCTTTAAATCAGTATTATTTTTGAGTTTTGATTCACTGATTTACAGTATTAAGACCTATGTGCGATTCTTGATTATTTCCCTATTTTACACCTTTTAATTATTTTCTTGCCTTATTTGATTAGTCGTGATACTTATAGATTCCTCAAGATTGTTTCCTTAGTTGAACCCCTGTTTATTTACCCCTAATTGCCCATTATGTGCTTAAGTCTTACTTTATTTTCTTTCCTTAAATATTGTCCTGCCCTTTACCGTTGGGTAATTACCCCTTAATAAGGGGAGACTTTACAGATTTCGTGCATAATTGATTCTGTAAGTTCCCTTAATTGCTGAATGATTGATCTCTTTACCTTATTCTGTTTAGCCCCTGACTACTATATATACTCTCCTCTATTCTCGCTTCTAGACAACAAACATTAGTTCAAAAAAATAGTCTTACACTTAAAAGCTCTTTGTTCTTCTCTATTACTTGCAATCTTCACTGATCTAGCCGGCTGTAAGCCAAGGCTAGCTATTGCACAACATCTGCTCTATACTCTGTGTTTTCTCTCCCTA